AAATTCATCTCCACTTGTAGGTAAGCCTCCTAAAGGTGGGAACTGATGAGAATTAAAGAATTCTGCTGTCCTGTTACAGCAGAGTACCTGTGACTTGTGACTTGGAATGGACTCGATGGCAATGGGTTTATACTATACACACCTATTATCTGATCTATTAACTTAAAAAAACAAAAAACTGTATACAGCATAAAATCCATTAAAAAGTATAAGTAAACCAGAAGGCTGTTCTATTTCATTTCATTTTGAAGAGTCAACATATCATTTAGTATTTCATTTATATACATGTTATTGTGTATACATGAAACTCAAAAGCATAAACTAAGTTTCAAAGGAAGCAAAGGATAATTAGTAGATTAAAATTATAAAATGGTAAATTGGTTCTTAGGGTAATTAGATAGGGTTACATAAAAAGTCTTGGCTGAGTTTGGAGGACAGTGCTGACACATTTCCAAATGGCAAAGAAAATCCTATATTTTCAAACTTAGATGACCTATCATTGAACCAAGTAATCCGGGGAAAATAACTTTAGAGAACATTAGCAGAAGGAATTCATAAAGATAATATCAAAATCACTGCACTTAGAAATTTAAAAACAACTGGTGCTATTTATTTGAAAGAATTATTTAAAAAAAAATTTTTTTAGAAGTCAAACCAAAGTAGGAGGAAGAGAAGAACAAATATAAAATAAGAATGTGAAAGGAGAAATAACAGAAACACAAAATATTTTTGCAATTATAGACAGAACAGGATACAATATAAAACCTTCTGCTAACAAATTAGGACATTCATCAACATAGTAGACTTTCAAGAAGAACACACATCAAAAAAATGACTAAGAAATAGAAAAACAGAAGAGCTGGATAATCATGGCAGAACAATACAATTGCCTCCAGATCCATGCCTTAGAAGGCACCAGGCTCAAGAAGGCTTGCCACCTTATTGTTCAAATGAGAAAATATGTATGATATCTCAATAGATGCCAAACAGGAATTTGATAAAGGTTTAACATTCATTCTTTTTAAAAAAAAAAAAAAAAAAAAGCTTGGCAAATTAGGAAAAGAATGATACTTCTTTTTCTGAAAGCAACTGGAAGGATATTCACTAGTTTTGAAAAAAGAGAAAGTTGCTGACTATCATTCCTACTATTAAAATTTATTCTGGAAGTTCTAGCCAGTGCAAGAAAAGAAAAAACACTGGTATGAATTTTGAAAAGGAAAAAGAAACGTTATGTTTTATTACACTGTCTATCTGAGAAATTCAAGAGTATTAATTGAACAACTCTGATTACAAATAAATGTGGACTAAAATTTTAATAATGGTATAAATATTATCATAGTAATGTTCACTTTCAAGAAAAGCTCCATAAAAGTACTAATACTACTTCTTCCCCAGAAACAAGAGGAATCTGAACTGAATTATAGACTTGGTTTTGCGAAACTACATGGCCTTAGGAAATATTATTTTACCTCTCTCAGCAGATTTCTTCAAGTGTGAAATGTCAATATGGCCCCTGCTCTGCCTCTCACAAAGACTGGCAGTTAGAATCAAACGAAATTATGGATGTGGAAATACCTGGGGTATACTGTGCACTATACAGTGTATTTTGGTATCCAGGTTGCATCAAATGTTTAAAACTCAGTCACAGTTCTGCCTTAGTATTTAAAACCTGAATGCACTAAGCTTCCTTTCCCATCTTGTGATTATTGTGGCATAAATCAATCAAGTAGATCAAATATAAAATATACTTACACTCCTATTTTTGGGGAGAAGTAGGGAATAAAATTATATTGGAAATTCACTAATAGCTTGTTCTAAGAAGGGAATTAATACAGTAAAAAAAGAACAAATGATAACCAATTCTGTATTTTAAAATTTTTATATATTGTATTTCCAAGAGGGGCTCCCTTATGGGGAGAAGCAAGAATAATACCTCTTGGCCACAAGAGGGAGCTAAACAGTTGGTCCACTTAGTTTACTAAAAGCATCTTCCACCATATTTTGTCTGCTACAGACCAGTTTCACTTACTGTCCTCAAGTTGGGTCTTGTTTATGGCATTTTTTTCTATCACCTTGACTTAAAACCCTGCTCCTCTCATGGCTGACATCTCTAGGAGCTGCTTCCAATGAGAAGCACAAACTGTAATTATATTTATAATAAATAGTGGGACCTTTTTTTCTAACATGCTTATTTAGCAAATATTCAATATCAGAAACACCATAACATAATACAGGAGAAAGCTGATTACACAGCCATCTACAAAAAGTATTTTTCCTTATAAGTATTTCTTGTCTTGATTCTTCCAGTAAAATCTGCCTAGAATGTTTTTTATATTAGTATTTAAAAAAAGGGCATACCCTTAATAATGAATAAGCTCCACTGTATAAATGAACAGTAGTTTTATAGAACACTATGCTTAACACAAATAGATATCTGATTGCAAAGTAATTGGAAATTCATAACCTAAAAAATTATTTTAAAATGTAATATTTTAATTGCTCAAAAAGATTAAATGCATAACACAAACTACCACAGGAAATAAATACTTAGCTGAACAACTGAGGAAATATTCCCTGTTATGGATAGAATTGTGTCTCCCAAGGTGTTGTAAATCCTAACCTCCATACCTGTGGTTATAGTCCCATTTGTGACTGTTTTCTCTTTGTTATGTTAATGAGGCAGGATTAGTGTAAAGTGTGTCTTGAGTCAATCTCTTGAGATATAAAAGAGATTAGACAAGCAAGCCAGTGAGCAGAGATGGGGTAAGATAGATGCCAACATGCATGGAGATCTCTAAGGAACCAGGAAGCAGAAGCTGAAGAGATGAGAACCTTCCTCCAGAACTGACAGAGAGAGAAAGCCCTCCCCTAGACCTGGCACCCTGAATTTGGACTTCTGCCCTCCTAAACTGGGAGGAAATAAATTTCCATTTGTTAAAGCCACCCACTTTCAGTATTTCTGTTATAGCAGTGCTAGATAACTAAGACATCCTATACCAAATTATAAATTATTTTAAAAATACAGTATATATAATCAAAATTTCTTATAGTAATCTATTCAGAGAAATACTATTCCAGTCATACAGAGTATGTGAATAAAAAGGCTAGATTTAAATGGGAATTGGAATTGTGATTCCAATTTATGACTGTGACAG